TCTTGCAGTCTTTCATTGAATTTCGATAAGAATGTTCTTTAATAAAGTGTTCTTTATTTAACTAGCATTCTCTAATCAAGTAATCACCAAAATTGTATGGATCCATCAGAATCATAATGCCCAAGTGAAGGAACTATAACACCACAGTTTGATATTAAGTTCATTTTTGCAGATATCTTACCCTTGGAGAAGTGGGGTGAGGCAGGGCCAGATTCAGTGAGATACCTCCTGTGCATAAAGCAAGCATGTGCTTAACCACGTCCCTGGGACGGGAGTCTGCCACCTCTGTTATTGCGGACTGTGAATGTGTTGTCTTGAAATGTACAAGCTGTAATTAAGAGCTATTGGATAATAACTATGCCATGAAAATGTCCTAAACTATTAAAGAGCTGAAGATGATAGTGTGCTTTTAATGTTTCACATAAACCATTTGGGATTTGAAGAACTTTCAGCACTCACGAGGAAGGCAGAATTATGCTTGCCGGGTTAAAGGGAAGGAAAAGAAAAACCCCTGAATTAAATTTTTGAGCTTGACACTCTCCACTTTTCTACATGTTGCTCAATTCTAAACAGGGAAAATAAAATCAGCTTTGTTCGTGAGCATATGCTTTTGACATTTTTTCTTCTTGGAGCCTGTGAATTATTAATAAACTAATTTCTCTTTATAGTTCAATCTTTGGAGACTTAAAGTGCTCACTCAAATGCACTGAACAAGAGGAATGCTTCAGCTCCAATCAGCTCCTGTCTTCTTTGGAAATGCTGGCCCTGAGGTATCTTTGAGTCTTTGAAATCAATCTTTTATTCAACCGGGAATTTCTGATGGCTTAGAGGTCTAGTCTGTTAATTCTGCCTAATGCCCTGTTTAAGTTTGGGGCATTTCAATCAGCTGATGTTTTTGCTTTTACTTTGCTGAGGGAGTGAGTGCATCCCCCTCTCCATTCACCACACCCCTATTTCTTTGTGACCAAATGGAAAACAAATTGTTTGTTGGCCTCCAGAAATACAGGGAAAAAGGGGAACAAGGTAGAAAAAACCCAAGGTGGCACCTGGGGAAGATCTCACTGAGTTTTTCAAAGCCAGTTTAATACGTCTTGATCTGAAGGTTAAAGGTCAGTGACTATCAGCGTAGGGCACATAAAAAAGCCTGTTTGCCAGTAACTCCAATCTATAATACCATCTTTGTGACTTTGTGACTGTTTAGTTCATTAAAAACAGGAGTAAAACCATGATATTGAGCTGACAGGAGGTGAAACTGAGAAATCAGTGCCATTAGAAGATATGTACTTGGTCTGCAGGACCCCTAGTGATGGTTGGCTGAGATTCACTTGAAGGTAATTTTCCCCCTATTCTTTCACTGAGTGCAGGTGTCGAAGGCATCCCCATGCTCTGCCTGGAAGCCTTTTGCCAGTACTTCCTCAGCTTGGAGTTTACCATAGGATAAGCACAGAATATCTTCCATTCAGCTCTAACGTTAGCCAGAAATTAAAAGACTGGGTGTCTTTGCTACTAAACTATGATGATCTCTTCAGCAGAACCTGTGCTGAGTGCTGAACAAATTCATGTCACTTGTGACCCTGTGCTCTCATGAAACAAAGGCTCCCAATGATGAAGCAACATTGTTTGGACCTTTCATTCTCAGGCTTCTGAAAAAAGGACTGAAAAAGGGCAACATGAAATTTAAAAATAGGCTGAGGGCCTATGTTACAAATCGCTGAGCTCCATGTGGTCAAGTAAAAACAACAACAAAAATAACAGTGCTAAATTAAGCTGTACAACAGAATCTCATTTACCAGAAATACTTAACTGGAGAAAAACACATTAAGGCACTGGCCTCGTTAACAAAAATGCCCAATGCAGAAGTAGCTTACCAGTTAACATTTGCAAAAAAGAAAATCTGATTCCTGAAAGGAACTACAAAAAATGGTTAAAGAAAAATATCTGTTTTTCTCTCACGTGTCTGATGTATTTCTTTTTCCTTAGCCCTCGTTACTGAGGCCACTGGCATGAAAACTGCAGGCCAGACTCTTGCTCTCTTTTATGCTGGGGTAAATCTGGAGTAACTACTGGGCAATGCCTATCTTGGTGCAGGGGTGGTGATAGCACTGGGGGGCACAGAGCTGCTTTCTGCATGCGATGTATTTCCTAGCTCTCCCTGTGAGCCTCAAAAAACACCTACAAACTCAAGAAAAAGAAACATTTTGCATTGCTCATGCTTAGGGTGATTCCTAGTGAGGTACAAAAGTGATTTGGTTCCAACCTCCCGTTCAAGTCTTTGGGAAATTCCAGCCATGAAGGTTAATTATAAGCCTTTAATTAATCAGACGTTCACTGTGGGCTGAAGTGGTCTGGCTGTCTGAGCACCAGCCCAGGAGCTCCTTAATTAACACTGCTGGCTGCTGGCAGCAGGGAGCACAGGGACTGGGGGCAGCCCCAGAGCTGCGTGGGATGGGCACTGGAGGCAGGGAGGTGAACAGAGGATATTGAATAGGAGAACGGGTCGTAAAACAGGGGTAAAAAGATGATTTTTATTATACCTTACGTACTGAAAAAATGAGAATACGTTGGTAGCTGGAATTAAAACCCCAAACTGGCTAGTTTACTAAGTGAGCTTTTTAAAAGAGTGTTGTTGTTGTTGTTGTTTGTTTGTTTTTAATTTAAAATTGCCTACAAATGGCAGTAGCAACAACTGACACCTCTGAACTAAGAATAATTACCAGATGACTCAAGAGTATGGCACACCTTGGTTCTCATTGGCATGTTCATGTGTGGCTGGTGCTCCAGAGGAACCTGCAGCAGGGATCTGGGATTTCTCTCCAATAATATCATTAACAACGTTTCAATACTCTTTAACTTAATAACAACAAAACGGCAGCACTAGAAAGAGCTGCTGATGAGGGAGAAAAAAAAACCCTTTGCTTCTCTCCCAAATTACAAGAACTCTTTTTTTCAGTTTTTTTTCTTTCAAACGTATGCTGCAAGAGGGGAAAATATGATCTGGGAGAAAATAACTTTCAGTTGATGCACTGAAATATTTTTAACTATCAAAGTGAGGGGAGTCGCATCCATGAGAAAATCAGCAAGGCCTTTTAAAACAATATGAGGCCAATGGGAAAAAAAAAAAAAAAAGAAATAAATATCCCCATTCCTGGTGGATGCCTGTTTCTTTAAGCAGCTGTTTCTTGTCTCTGAGGTAACAAAGTTGTCATGTGATGCATCTGTTACCATAGCAATAATCTGTAATTGTGCAGAAAATCCACCAAAGTAGCGTGCAACTCCTTAGTGAATTGGACGGGAGTGAAAAATCACCCCTGTGCAAGCCTTGGATTGATGATGTTGTGAAACGGTATTGGCCAAGTCAGACCAGTTTCACCTCCAATGAATTTCCTGCATTTATTCGCTCTGGTTCTGCTGCCTAACATTTGCTCAGTCTTTAAATATGCAGCTCACTTGTGCATGTAGGGCTGGTAAATGGTGTGCATCTTCCTGCACAGTTCCGTGCTGCTGCACTGAGGGCATTTTCTGTAAGGTTGGGCACTCTGCATATTGTGACCAAAGGTATAAGACTTTTGAACTATTGAGCCATTCTTTTCAAGAATGGTGGTAAAATGTCATTAAGTGTTGTTAAAAATTGCAACGGGAAAGGGTTTTCTATTTTTTAAATTTGGTGTCCTTTAAAACTAATTGGAAATAGGAATATAGAAGGATGAGAAGATGAAATCTGCAAAACTTTCTTCCTCCTGTTAGTCATAAAATAAACTGCTGGAATTTACAAAGAAAATCCTTGAACATTTTGAGTCATCTGCTCATGATATCATTGGGCTAAAAGTGCTTGCTACTATCCAAATCAAAATGCCAGAGAAATCTCATGAGAATATGCCTTGTGGGCAAATCCCAAAAGGAGAACATCTGGATTTAAGATGCCATTGCCCTGTACTTAACCCTGAGCCACTGAGAAAAATGACTGTTCTCCTGCTCTCACTCTCTACGTTATTAGTAAATATTTATACTAGACAAGCACCCAAAGGCCTCAATTGAGAGTAGATTTCCATCTTGAGGCCTATGCAGGACTAACAGAGAAAGGAAACTCCCTCTGCTCTGAAGAATCCACTCTATTTATTTTCCCTTTCAGCCTATGTGTGACAAGCTACTCCATGCACAGTGGCTGATGATTCTACTTCATTGGCCACTGGATGAGACCCTCAGTTCTTTCACAGGCTGAAAAAAGAAAACACAAAAACCAACTCAAAGCAAAAAGGATGTTTGGCTCATTGGTGCAGGTCCAACTGAGGTAGCCTAGCTCTTCTGTAAAGAGCACTTCAGTTGTGTGCACACCAGCAGTGCTACCCTTAGCATTGCCTTTCCATCCTCTAATGTAACCCACTGCGCCTGCCTCAACTGCTTTGTCTTCCCACCTAGCTCAGAAAGCATTAACGGGATGCGGATGATTTAATACTGTATCACCCTGAAACTCAAACCTAAGCCAAACCTTCTCACAGGCTGTAATTTGCAGTGATTGGATTAGGATTTCTCCCACCCCTGCAAATCCTTCTCAGCGTTTTCAGGGTCCGTGTAAGGGCTCAGCTGCAGAAGAAGGGCTGGTAAGACTTTACACGCTGCATTTACTTGCTGGTAAATGCCTGGCCAGCTGAACCTCTGCTCAGACCTGAGATCTGCCCTTCAGAAACCCATTTTGAAAGAGGGATGCTGGCATGTTAACTGCAGGAGCTGCACCAGGCTGCAACCTGAGCCTCCTGCAGCCCCTTTTGTAAGGAAGGGTGTGAAGCAGAAGCTCCAGAACTGCCACAACATAGCTTGTTTCATACAGCCTGCCACCAGCCCTCTGCACCAACACCCACAAAGAACCTCAACACACCTGGGGGGAATGGAGGGCACAATTAAAATGATTGGAGTGGGTGGGGCCCAGGCTGGGCTTCCTCATTTTGGTTGCCAAGGACCCAATCAAACTGGCAGCTGAGCAACCTGACCATATAAAGGCTTGGGGGGAGGAGCAGAAGGGGAGCTGGCACTTAGGATGTGTTGCTGGGGGTGGTTTTCTGGTTGAGAGGTTTTGCTTCTGCTTAGGTGCAGGAGTGTAGAATATGCTACCTGTTGTTAAATTCCTTTTCCAACAGTGGAACTGCAGAAGAGGTGAGGGGCTGGCACATTTCTGTATTGGGTTTGGGAAGTTTCAATGGGAAGGGGTTGTCTTGGAGTAATGTGGGGCTGGGCTTCCTGGGCTTCTGAGCTAGGCTGTAATGGTTTGCCCTATCCTAAAGGTCGGTTGCCCTTCTCCCATATCTTTGCAGCTTTCTTGATGGCTGTGCTGAGGCTTTGTGCCTCTGGAAAAAAGCCTCTGAGGTGACCCATTGCAGCCCCCTGCCCTGGGAGATAGGTGTAACTGCTGTGGGAAGCCAGGAAGCGGGAACTGAATGGGAGCCACTCTGAAATAAGTGCTCAGGAATGCTCTGACCTCTTGCCTCACTGGAGCGCCATTTTGTTTTTGTCTTAGAACACATTAAAGAGCTGTTTGTACATAGCCTTAATCTGTGTGCACACATACACAAATTCAGCCTGAGAGGGGGGAGAGGGAGAAGGATCACGGCTCTGCCAAGTGTGGGCGTCCTGGGCTCCAGACAGCTGTGACAAACTGCAGCCTTTTTACTACCTTAAAGAACATAATGGGCCACTTTTGTAATTTCAGCTGTAAATGCATTTCTACTCTATCACAGGACAGTGCTTCAGTATGAGAAAAGAGAAATATAAGAACTAATGTGGTGACAGGCCAAGGAGCAGAGCTTATAACACACCCACAGAGTGTTTCCCATGAAAGCAATATTCCCTGGTTCTGTCGGTGATGCTCTTGCTTGCCTGCTTTAAGGAGTAATTTCTCAGAGCTGTATTTTAGATGTTCAGATCTTGTAAACTCTTCACAGTTTAATACATGGCAACTTTTCTGCTTTCTGAGTTTGAGTCACTGCGTTAAAATTGCCTCCGCCACCACAGTGTTCAGTGCTACTGCTAACTTCCCATCTTCTCTCTTCTAGGCTCTCCGTAATAACCTGTGATCAGGATCCTAGGTATGTGCTGGATAGGCAACTGAAGAAGCCTGTCTTTCCACAATTCAGACAGAGCACATAAGGTGAGAGTGGACTGTGTGTAAAAGTGAACATGAGTGCAGTCCTTGTGGCATGGGTTTGTGGCCTGAAAACAAAAGGCTGTTGTGGTGTCCTGAATGTGGACCTGAAAGAGGGGTGTGCCTGCTGACAACCCATTGCTGCTGTGTTATGAAGTCCTAGGTTTTGTTGATCTCTTGCCTACAGACTGGAATGATTGTTGGATCTAGCTGGAAAATAATTCTCCTGGTTGAAGTTACCACAGTTATAGTTATTACAGATGTAGGATTTCCTGAGCAGATGTCTGCTATTGAATCCCTGCCCTGCCCAGGACTTCAGGTGCTGCTGGCACATAATTGCATTATACTAATGGTAGATAGTGCACTGTTGCTGGTGCACCTGTGATGTGGTGCAGGGCCCGTGGGGTGCAAAGGGCTCAGTTGGAGCATGTGGGCACTCCAAATTTAAGTCTGTGAAAGGAGGTGTAGGAGAAAATTAGCTGCAGCTGTAACAAGCTGAGTTGTGGCTGTGTTGGGCTTTGTGCTGTCATTTGCTGGTCAGTAGGGACTCACAGCAAGGCTGGCTGCAAGGTGGGCAAAGGCTTGAGAAGACTTCCTTTATTGTCAGTGAACTATGAGACCCCACTGAAATGCTGTGGAAGGATGAAGGTGTTAGGAGGGGCCTGAGAGCCCCAAACTGAGCTTTGGGGTGCCTTGGTGTTTATGTGAGACCTGTAGGGATTACACTAAATGGAGCAGGAGATGTGGAATCTAGGCAGAAGGAGACTTTAGGTTGCTTAATTTTTTTAACAAAAATCTCAAGGAGAAACAGATATAAACTGAAACACTTTAAGTCAGTGCAATTCAGTTTTTGTTTGGAAAAACACCTTCAACCCATCAAAACAAAGAGCTCAAATTCCTTGAGAGCCAGCTACACAAGGCTGTCTTTCCATAGGTCTTCCTGGCAGATGGCATCCATTGCCTTCTTTGTCCTGTCAGAAGAGATACCTGCTCTTCAGACACCTGTTCCTGGCACAGTTCCTCCTAAAGGTGTTTGAATCTGTGTGCAAGCTGAATGGTGGTGGCTGAAGTATTCCATATGGTTTCTTGTTAGGAGGATGTGGGACTGGGTGTCCCTGGAGGTCATTTCGTCCTGTGTGCTGCTCTCCCACAGGGCTGAGCAACTGCATTTGTGTCCCTTCTCAGTGCTCCATGCACTCTGGTTGGGGTGGCATGGAAAGATCAAACTGCAAAGGATGGGGAATGGGGAATATATTTCTTCTTTGCCAGCAGACAGTTTTGGATACTTAAAGATATCTTGAGCTTCCCCCCCTACTCCTGTTTCTTCCTAAACCTTGAGATTTGAGCATAATGTTTTTATGTTGCCTCAGAAATCAATCTGTTTGGTAACTTGACTGAGAATAAGTAATGCAGCTACATACTTCTGAGTTACGTGTGCACGATCTGTTTGTATGATATGCTCCAGTCTTCCTAACATCTGGTTCTAGCCAGTTGCTATCAGCCCCTTGGTTTTATAAGCACTAAATTCACTCAGTTTTTAATGCAGGGGGGAAAAAAAAATACAACCCAAAGAGCATAACATTTACAAGCTTTTTTTGTGGGAGTGGAGACAGGAGGCCAAGTTGTGCTCTCAGACAGAGTCCAGCCTTTGCATTTTTTGGGTGGGCCTCTGAAACCAATTTTTTTTTTTCTCCTTAAGATGCTGCCTTTTCAGCCAAACCAAACTGATTCCTGTCAGCTATTATCACTTTGGTATGAATGAGTTTGGCACAGAGACTTGAGGGAGGGTCAGCAAGATGGCTTTTGGGGATGCTTGTCAAATAATAATTGAAGTGTTACACATAAAGTGTGCGTGTGTGCCTTGAGTTCTGGGAAAGAGCAGAGTGGGAGCATGTGGTTTCTTGTAACCTTACCTGCCTCTTTTTGCACCTGATGTGCATTGGGTTCAGTGCTGAGTGGAGATGACACAATTTCCACCCATTGGGTTGTGCTTGGGCAGGCTGCAGCATCCCTGGGCACCTCCCCATGTGGCTTTTCCAGTGTAGCTTTGAACATGGCAGAAGAGGATTGAGTTGTTCTCAGGATCAGCAGAGATGGCTGGTGGAATCTTGTTAAGCACATATGATAGTGGATGATCCAAAAATCAGAAGGCAAGCCAACAAGTTCATTGAAATATTTTCATAAGAAAACTGAGCATTAAAAAACCTGCTGCTGCCAAGCCAGTTGCTGACACAGAGATAAAAAGCAAAGCTATCTGTAACCTGTAACCCAAACCCACGTTATCCACATGCAGTTTACAAGAAGGCTGAACAGCTGCTGGCTTGCTATTGAAGCAAAATTGCCTTTTAACTTCTGTTACTGTTTGTGCTTTCATTCTAGTTTAGTGTTCACACTCTCCTTCTGAGTCAAAGCTCTGAGTGAGACTTGAAGGAATGAGAACCATTCTTAAATAGTTTGAAGAACTGTCCTGAAGAAATTGAGTTAGATCTTTAAAACTTTAGCAATGCTAGTTCTAATACAAATACCAACTACCAGTGGTTTTATTTGCTTGGCAACTGGAAAGAGGGAGAGGGAGATAGCAAACCAGAAATTGCTTGTACTTAAAGTCACTGAAAGGCTGCAATTCACATATGGATGAAATTTGGCTCTGGAATAACATAATGTAGTTGTAAGTGGAATAAATCTGGTCTACTAATTCTTTTCTGCCTGTTTTGTTTTAAAAGACAAGCTACCTCCATTTCACATGTGCGCATAAAACATGGGTAGCTGAAGCAGGTAACTGTGTAAGTCTCTGAGAAGAACTTGCTGGGTACTTTTGGCAGGGCCTCACATTCTGGAGAGTATCAGAGTGAATGCACACATCCCCTTGTAGCAGTCCTGCCTGTCTGCTCCTGAGCTGGGGCTGCTAGCAATGTGGCACTAATTCAGATGTTGCAGAATTGCATACAGGTTTCCACAGTTATTTTTCTGTTGTTAGCAAACACTTGAGGTAAGGCTGTGTTGTGGTCATATAGACAGGAAAATGACATCATGCTAAAAGCCACTAATGCAGAAACTTTGGCATCTGAAAGGCCAACTGTATTCTAATTAGGAAGAAAAAAACAATGACATTTGAAATGGAGACATTTCTTGGATTCTTCTTATTTTCAAATCCTCCCCTGGCTTCCCTTTCAGCCACAGCTGTGACAAGTGCATTGGAGCTGATAATAAACACAACTCTGAGGTCATTGCTTGGTTTTTAAAATTAAAATAATTAAATAAATATGGATTAAATTTCCTACCTCCAGGAATCCAGTGCTTGGGAATGTGCAGCACAATCTGCTCTACAGTCACTCTGAAGTGCTTTTGTGTTTTTATTATGTGGTTGCTTTTTTTCCTTATCAGAAAATACAAAACAGCCTTATTCTGTATTCTCCTCCCTCCAGGGTTGGTGGATGGTATCGATGGACTTGGGATGGTGACACTTTGTAGGGATTATTCACTACATAGAGGGGAAAAAAAAAGCCAAACAAACAATTTGTCCCAGCATCCACATTGTTGGAGGAGGTTGACAGATGTGACCAGCTCATCCTGCTGTGGATTACTGGAGCTGGCTGGAGAAGTACTGAAGAAGCCATATTGCACTGATGTCAGGTTCTGTGTGTATTGGTGCTGCTGCACCTTCTGGAAGCAAAGCAGCTTTGTTTTGGGAAGAAAAACAGGCTGGAGGAATTCCGATGGTGTTAAAACTGACTTATTAGGGCACAAAAGTACATACTATTTTTGAGGTGACTTCTATTTTTTTTTTAGCATTTTGTTTCAAGTATTCTAAATGGAAATAGATTGCAACTGAAGTATTTTAGTTAATTCAGAAAAGCTGCTACTGTTTTTTTTTTTTCCCTTTAGAACTTCTTTAGCAGAGGGCTGAATTCTAGGGGAAGTGGAAGGTGTGATGTTCATAAGAAGCAACATATTGAACTCAAAATTAGAAGTTCTTTCCGTTCTTGAGCCAGATCAACTCATTTCCCACTTGAGAGAAAGTTGTTGTGCACATGCACCAAAGCCTCCATCATCCCACCTTCCTGCAGATGATGTACCCTTAATTCCTGAAGGTGCATTGCAGAAGATGGTGCATGCAGAGACACTTGAACCAATGCTACATGTCATCCTCACTCAAGAAATTCTGCTTGAGTGGCCCGCTGTTTTTGCATGATCAGTTACATTGAAAGTTAGGCAAATGGGCTCTCCATCTCCATCTTCTGCCCCTGCTCACTTTACTGCTATCCCCATCTGGGAAGAAGTATAATGAGAATAGTTGCAAGGAATCACCTACTCTCGTGCACCTGCCAGCAGGGTGGATTAACTGTCGGGTTATTTTAGGAACAGAATAAATCCTGACATACTTTGAAAATGCATCCTCACTTGCTCCTGAATTTCTGTTCTGCTTGGTTTCATCTCAGTCATAGCTAGTTTTCTAAAAGTGCCACTATTCATATTGAATTTGCACCTTGCAAGCACCTGCAGGCTTATTGCTTGGCATGGACTGTTCCTTATTGATTTGATTTTTCTTTTGTGTTTTGTTTTATAACATTTCATGGTGTAGACAGCAACTTTACGGGTGCTGAGCCAGGCTACTAATTGGTTTCACATCCCTTTGAGTGTGGATTTAGCAGAGTTCTTATTTCTTTTTCCCACAGAAATGAAAGTAGAAGCAGCTCGATAATGTGATAGTGCCATTCATTACTCCTCCAACTGAAAGGATTCTGCTTCCTTGCAGACCACTGAGGTCATTTTGTCACTGAAAGCTGAGTGAGGGCAGATCGCATGATGTCATCTGGCCTGGCTGTTGCATGCAGCAGAGAAAGGCTCTTCCAGTGAGAGCAAGGCCTGGAGCGGGGTAGTGAATGCATGGATGGATTTGAAGGCCAGTGCAGGAGCTTCAGCTGTGCCACACTGGGAAAACAGATCTTTAGATGAACAGACTCTGTGTGGAGCCTGTAGCTTCTGTAGTACAATGGGCAGGCGTA